GGGGCTCCAGATGGATCAGTTGCAAACGACTTTCGTAGCTAGGCAATCGGAAGGGATCCGTCCACGGCAGTTTACGTAGCGCATATCCCAGGAGGCTTTGTCGACGGCATACGAAATGTGCTTGAAAGCAAGTTGTGTATCCAGAAGCACACCTAGGTCCTTCATTTGGCTGAAGCGCTCAATTTCAGTGCCTAACAAGGCATACTTGAACATAATAGTCTTTTTCTTGTGCGAAAAAAGAGATAACCGAGCATTGGACGGGTTAGCCTCCATATGCTTCAGAATACACCAATCAGCAAAAGCATTCAGCTGACGTCGAAGGAAGCAACAGTCTTCAATTTTTTTTTTTTTTTTTGTTAATTACTTTATTTGTACAGGCTCAATCGAATAAACTTTACAGAGCCAAGTTATCATTTTATTTATACATTATAAATGTCTTAAATCTAAAATTAAAGGATTGGAACCGATTACTCGCGGTCTTCTCGAGGTTAGTGGATGACAATTGTTTGGATCGGGAGAGGGAAAAGGAAATTTGGAATAAGATTTATGATTCAAAAATGTCACTATTTCTAAAACATATACTTAATCCTATCGACGTTATATCAACTCTGTAATTATACAATTATTACAGAAACAAATCTACAAAAAAAAAAATACACACACACATACAAAACACAAACTAAACACAAAGTTAATCAAACTTACAATTTATGGTTAATATTCTTCAAGAAAACATATATGAGTTGCATAAACTCCAGATCACGTCTAGCCAAAATATCCCGAACTGGAACATTAGGTTGTCTACCTCGAGCCCGAAGGGAATCGTACAACTCGGATCTGACTCCACGGTGCTCAGCACATGACCAAATAATGTGATCTGCGTCCTGGTAACCTTGTCCACAGTCACAGAGATTGCTGTCTCCCAGCCCAACACGAAACAAGTGAGCGTCTAACGAATAGTGATTGGACATGAGGCGAGACATCATACGAATGAAGTCTCGACCCACATCCAACCCCTTGAACCAAGGACACTTCGACACCTTAGGGATGATTGAATATAACCATCGTCCCAAACTCCCTTCACTCCATTTATTTTGCCAGCTGGCGAGTGACTGTTGACGATAAATGAAGAAAAATTCGTCGTAGGCGATTTGTCGATCGTAAATATCGCCTTCCATAGCGCCCACCTTTGCAAGCGAGTCCGCCTTCTCATTGCCCGGAATCGAGCAATGAGATGGGACCCATGCAAAGGTGATGACAAAAGATCTTAAAGATAAAGCACTTAAAAACTCTCGTATTTCCATGAGAAAATACGAGGAGTGCTTTACCGGCCTCATGGAGCGAATAGCCTCGACAGAACTGAGACTATCCGTAAAAATAAAATAATGATCTGGTGCAAGTGAGGCGATCGTTTCTAGCGTATAATGTATTGCCGCCAGTTCAGCAACATATACGGAACAAGGAGCATGAAGCATTCGAGAGGCGCTATGAAATTCGTTAAAAATACCAAAACCTGCGGACGCCTCTATTAGTGATCCATCTGTGAAGAACGATCTTGCGGAATCAACTTGGCCAAACTTTGCAGCGAAAATTGACGGAGCAATCATGGAACGATGATGCTCTGGGATTCCGCGAATCTCTTGCGTCATGGATAAATCAAAACTAACAGAATTGTCGAAGTCGGAGAAGCAAACACGATAGGGATTATGCTGCGAAGGGCTGACATCCTGTGTTATGTACACGTAGTACAATGACATAAAACGAGTTTGAGGGATTAGCTCAAGAAGCTTCTCAAAGTTTGCAATCACCAGTGGGTTCATAACTTCACAACGGGTGAGGAGCCTGAGGGACAATTCCGAAAACCGATCCGATAGTGGCAACATGCCCGCCAACACTTCGAGACTCATCGTATGAGTCGAGTGCATGCATCCTAACGCGATACGAAGACAGCGATACTGGATCCGTTCCAGTTTGATGATGTGCGTTTTAGCCGCCGACTGGAAGCAAAAACTACCGTACTCTAAAACCGATAAAATCGTTGTCCGGTACAACGTTAGAAGATCTTGCGGATGGGCTCCCCACCACGTTCCGGTAATTGTTCGGAGAAAATTGATCCTTTGTTGGCATTTCCGCTTCAGATACTCAATGTGGGATCTCCAGGTGCATTTGGAATCGAACCAGACCCCAAGATATTTGAAAGACATGGAATGAGTGATCGGCTTACCCAAAAGTTGAAGCTTCGGTTGTGCTGGGCTATGCTTCCTAGAAAAAACTCACAGTCTTCAATTGAGTGAATTCAATTACCAGATTCACGTCGTTGAAGCAAATCAGGAAAATCAGCGGTCCCAGGTGACTACCCTGAGGTATGTCGGACGTGGCAGCGAACATACGGGACTGGTGATCACCAATGACAACAGTAAGATAGCGATAGGTGAGGTACGACTGAAACCATTGCAAAAGGCAGCCGTGGATACCAAGCCTGTCCAGTTTTGCGATTGATATGCAGTGATTCAATTTATCGAAGGCTGCAGATAAGTCAGACATCCGTCTGAGCACAATCCGACATACTGTTAGAGCTGTAGGAAGTAATGCACAGCAAGTTAGTGGCAGTGGAGCGACCAGCCATGAAACCATGCTGGTCGATACTAATATACGGCTTACAGTGAGCGAGTAACGGTTCCATAGCAACGAGTTCGAACAATTTAGCAACAGCGCCAAGCGAAGTGATGCCACGGTAGTTGCCAACATCCTGTTTGTTGCCCTTCTCGTGTACTGGAAAGATGTGCGCTAGATTCCAACAGGATGAGAAAACGCCGACGTCCACGGACAGTTGCACAACGTGCAGCAGAGGACACAACAAACTGTCCAAGTCCAAGTGCGTTTTGAGGAACTGGCAGCCAGTCGGGCATGGTCGTCACTTGGTCTCCCGTCCGTAAAGACACTAGCAAATTTTTCAGAGAACAGCTGACAGATATCTTGCGTAGATGAGGCCACGTTACCATTATGTATCATAGACGACGGCAGACCAGCTTCATGGCGTTAAAACTGCTTTGGATGTGAATTAAGTTTTCTCTGCAATCCACATCGATACTGAAGAAAGCACCGTTTCGCAACCCGTTTGTATTCGTGATTGATCCTGACATAGTGACGTTGAAGGGATAGTGTGCGGTGCTAGGTGAATTTCCTAAGAGCAACTCTGTTTCTGGATTTCAGTCGACGAAATTCGCTCGTATGCCATGGTGGATGCACGATGATGAATCTGTTTCGGAACGTGTCCGTCAATGACATATGCCAAGACACTGGACATAGTTTGAGCGGTGGACTCATTGTAAACGGTGTCCAATAAGTCGTCCCAATCTAAACTAGTGAGTATCTTGGCGATACTACCATGGTCGGCGTTGCGAAAAACCGTTTCGGCAGGTGAAATATTAAAATCATACATCAGCTTAGTACTTAACGTCACCAGTAGCGACGGGTGGTGACGAGGAGTGGTTTTGAGATGCTCGATTACCCTGGAGGGATCGGTTTTGCTTACTGAGCAGAAAACCATGGGTAGTATCATATTCTTATGTTCTACATATTTTCATATAATCATTCATTGGGTAGGAATGGTACTATCAGGGCGCTTGATTGAAGCGATTTGGATGGGAAGAGTGGAATTGCCAACTCCCTGTTGTTAACATTTCGTGAATTGAAGGTGAGCTATTCTCCCCACTCTTTGGGACATTCCCTCGTATGATGGCTTGTTCTGTATCGGGTTGGAACATTTGTATCATTGGATGGAGATTCTTCTTGCTCCAGTGGATCACGCCTCAATGTCTCTGCTTAAGGGTTCACCCTCCGTTTTTGGCCCTTCATACAATGGTAAATTGAATACAACCAGGTATCGTACTTGATCAAGTCATACGAGGTGGACAGTCCACTGTATAATGGCTGTGCCCTGCTACAATGAGTGGTATCCTTTACATACATACAATAAGCGGAACAGTTAACCAATAGTAAAAGTTTAATAAATTTTTGCACTGAAGTTGAATCAATTTGTGATCTTCGACAAAGTTGTTCTGCAACCTTTCAATATAAGTTGCAAGTTTTGTAAAAATTGATAAATTTTTGAAATTTTGACAAGTATATATGAATAGTTTTGTTCCGTTTCCCATACATTTTCTCAAACAATTTTTAACGTTTTCCCGTAAATCCAGATCACAACTAAATCCATTAAAATTTTGCACAGTTGTTGGGGACCTTAATATAGATCGAAAGAGCGGTGGCGAGGCCACCTACATTAGATCCGTTTGCGTTGCGTTGACGTCAATTTGACAGTTAGACAATAGATTTAGCTGTCACTTTGCCGCAACACGTCAGATCCGGATGTGTGTGGAGTTTGTTTATCCAAATTCTATGGAAGTTGGTAATCCAAATTCGATTGCGCTTTTCTAAGTAAAATTTGATTTCCAAGTAAAACTTGACTATATACAGCTAAAATTGTTTGGATTTTAAGATGACCAAGAAATTTTCAAAAAAATATTGTATTACGAACTTAGTTTACAACTAGTCTGTACGGCACTGTCGAAGTCAATAATAACAATAAACATTACTCGTTGGCGTTGAAAACGCAATCTATAGGAAAATATGCAACTAGGGGAAATGGCTTTAATGTTGGCCTATCGATCTAAGATTGGGTCCATCGCTAAAAATCTGCTATTTATCATTTTTATCTAGATGAACGCGTCATTGGGACGGTAGTAATGGATATTTTCGGTAGCTATTTAGTCGATTGCTGAATTTATGTATGGGCCCAAATTAGGGGCATTTAGGCCGACATTACATCCATTTCCCCTATTCACCAACTCAAGGTGCTTTAGGAAAGGTATAGAAAATGGGACGAATCACAAATGTCTATTCATCAAATTGTATTCAAATGATAATTCCGTGACTCCGCACCACATCTGAGATACCTACACATATCAACTCTAATGAAAAACAAAAGCAAAAACTCTCACCTGAACTTTTTATCACCACTGCCGTCACCTTTGAGGCTGTCTAGCAGTGCAGTTATCCACTCGGAACAGCTTTTATGATCATCGCAGCGCTGGCAAAGCAAAACACAGAAGATATGCAAATTAGTTTAGCGACCGGGCATGTTCATCTTGGAGAAAAGCCTCGATAATCTCCACTGGTTTGAGTCACTTACGAACGTGTACAGCACCTTGGAGTTGGTTTCAATCGTGAAGCGGGGCCCGGTCGTCGGGATGATGACCGTCCCCGGCACCAGATTGATGATGTCCTTGAAGGGGGCGAGCTTCTTCTCGTAGTCGTCTTTCGATGAGTAGGAGAGCAGCAGTTGGTTCTGCAGGATGAAGTACATCTTCCGCCAGCCGCCCATCTTCTGCATGTTCGATCGGTAGATGTCAATGTCAGATCGTGATTGTGGCGACGATGGCGGCAAATTTCCGTTTGATGATGATCGGCGTGAAAAGAGAAGAAAGGAAAATAATGTTACCGTGAAAATTAATGTCAATATCAAATCATCATCATCATCAACGGCATTGTGCGGTAGTTGTCGTTCCAACCAATAACCGGTCGGTGTGGAGGGGGGCCAGAATCACGCCTGCCCCATCTCGCTAAAGAGGAAACACAAAGCTACGGAAGGCGGTGTGGCGTGTCATTCCGACTTACTCTCCGTTACGGATCTTGGAGACCATCGCGATGATCTTTCGGTTGTGTACGATTTCAAGGTTTTGAGACCTCTAATGGGTTTACTGTTGGCGTTTGAATGTAAGTAAACGGTGTTTTACGGATTTCCAATGCTAATCTGTTTTGAAAGTTATAATAAATTTTTGGAACATTTCAAACTAAGGAAATTTGGTGTACAATGACTAATCTGATTTTCTGGATGGACTTATGCACCAAGCAGAAGCGGGTACGATGAAAATCTCTCGAACAATGAATTTGGCTTGAGCTTTTGAGTTGTAGGGATCACGTTCGGGTTTGCTTCCATCTCCTCGGAGGGTAACTGGTCTTCCTGCGTAAGTTGAACCGGCCACTGTGATATATCCTCTTGCAGCCAGCTTGGACCATACTTCCATAAGTTGTTTGCGACCAATTCTTCAGCTGACATCCCTCGGGAAACGAGATCTGCGGGGTTATCCTTTCCAGCTACGTGTAACCATTTCGAGCCGTGAGTAGTGGATTGGATTTCGGAAATACGGTTTGCAACGAAGGTTTTCCAGGATCGTGGGGGAGATTTCATCCATTGCAGTACCACTGTAGAGTCGGGGCATTGTTTGTCGGACCCTTGATGCGCTCCACCACAGTTGGCGCATTTGCACGTTTCCGACTCGTCGACAACGCAATCGGAGGAGCCATGATTTTAGCAGTTTCGGGTGCCGTGCCCGAAATTCAGGCAACGCTGACACTGGGTGACGTCGTGACGGCCGCCACGGTATGGCTCCCATTGAGCAATGATGGAGTTGATGGAGCGGATGGCCTTCAACGCATTGAGCGTCACCGTTCCCTTCTGGAAATGCACCAGGAAAAGGCGATCCGGGTACGTTTTCACGTTTTAGTCTCTCCTCGTCATCCGGAAGACTGCGATTGGGGCTAGCTTGTAACGGTTCTTGAGTTAATCTTTCGGTAAGGCTATCTTGAAGGGCTTTTCAGCGGGGATGTGAAGTATTCCGCCCTGGAATCCTTCAGGTACTTCACGATTGCTTCATACTCCGTTTTTGGACACAGCATCACCTTGGTGCCAATGCCCAGCGATGTGAGATCGCCAATGAGCGTGTTGAGTGGCACTTTCATCACCACCAGTGGAGGAAGCTTAACTTAACCCAACATCGATGGGAAGAGTAGCGTACCTATTTGTGATAGGCACGCACGAGCTACCTTCATCGCTGTTCTCCGCTTTCTCACGGAGCACGGAGCCTCCGACCACACGATGCGACCGGCACTACGACGCGAACAAACGCGCAACTCGAACAACTCGACTGAGTGAGCCAAAACTCGAGTCTCAGATGGAACCATGAATATGTACATCACCTGGACTGAATGAGTGAAGTATATCAAATGAACGATCGAGCCTCTGGATCACCGTTAACGGTGAGTCGTGTGATTAAACGTTACTACGAAACTCTGAGATGTTCTATTAGTGATCAGTCTTTCGTTCAGAGAGCCAAGGACCGGGAGAGGCTGCATACGTAAAAAGTGCAGAAGGCTCCAAATCGTGACGATAGGCAAAATACGGTGGAAAAGTCACGGGCCCGCAAACTATACACCCAGATGCTGACGAAGCCTCATTGTCTCATCATGGATGATTAGACTTACGTCAAGGCGGACTTCCGGCAGCTTCCGGGGTTACTGTTCTTCACCGCCCAGCACAAGTTCGATGTTCCGGAGGAAGTAAGGAAGCAGAAACTTTCTATGTTTGCCAAGAAATACATGATTTGGCAAACGATCTGCTCATGTTGCAAACGGAGTCCCAACAAACAACTTGAGTTGATTAACAGCTGAAAAGGCCATTTTTTAGCTGAAGAAGCTTATTTTTACCTGAATAAGCTCTCATTCAACATTCAATGTTTGTTGGGGTGCGCAGCTCGATTCAAAGTAAATCTGGACGCACGGTTTAATACACCACCGCGCCCCTGGTGGTTGGAACAAAAAACGATTGACAGGCATATGTTGGTGTTTCATTGACGAAGAAATTGGTGAAAAGTTTTTCTCGATTGATCGACGCATCCCGAAATTACGGATCATGGAAATTGAGAAAAGAAAATTAATTGTGCACAAACATCTAGAGAACCCTTCGTGGTCTGTCTTAAAAATAGCAAATGTGTTAAAACTCCCAAAGTCAACGGTGAGTCTTGTAATCAAACGCTGCAAGGATACTCTGAGTGTGGATAGAGCACAGTGCATCTATCATAAAAGTGGCACTAGGGACAAAAAGCTGAGGAGAAAGGTGTTTAGGTACGTGAAAAGCAACCCAGGTGTCTCCATACGTGATTTGGCAAAGAAATACGATTCCAACTTTTCCACCGTGCGTAACATCCTTTCAAGAGAAGGATATAAGTCTTTTTGTGCCAGTAAACATCCGAATCGCTACCTGAAACAAAATTTAGTGGCCAAAAAGCGAGCACGATTACCGTACGAACGAGATTTGACGAAATTTGAAGGCTGTATTTTAATGGATGACGAAATATATGTCAAAATGGATTATAAACAAATCCCCGGACGAAAAGTTTACCTGTCAACTGGTCGTGGGGATGTCCCTTCCAGGTATAAATTTGTTTTTGCTGATAAGTTTGCTCGGAAACTAATGATTTGGCAAAGAATCTGCAGTTGTGGCCTTAAAACCAAGGTTTTCATCACATCTCACACAATGACGTTGAAGGTTTACATTGAAGAGTGTCTGAAAAAACGGATTTTACCCTTCATTCGGCAACATAAGACCAACGTTATGTTTTGGCCGAATCTAGCCAGCTGCCACTACTCTAAGGAGGTACAAGAGTGGTATGCTGGAAACAATGTTAATTTCGTCGCCAAAGAGATTAGTCCTCCGAATTGCCCTGAGTTCAGACCGATCGAAAAATATTGGGCAATTGTCAAGCGAAAACTTCGAGGATGCGAAGTACGACAGTTAGTTGGAAACGGTGAAATGTAATAACTTTTTATATATCGTTTGAAAGATGAATAGATTCCCTTTTATTTGACGTTTTGATCAACCGTTTATGTTGTTTAATTCTTGAGTTATGATCACTTGAATGCGTCCAAATTTACTTTGAATCGGGCTTTTCAGAACCTAATGAGTGGAGTTAAGCGTAAGGTGCGAGCGTACGGTTATGGTATTGAAGTTGAATGAAATAAATATGCCAAAAGCTTACTAATGGGTTATATTTTATTGTCTGAAGGTTTGAAAAGGATCGGTCAACTAGGTAATTTTCTACAGCGTTTTTTCCGTGATGCAATTTGGTATGGGACACCCTTTATCCGAAGCGTTCAGAGAACTTTTAAAATCCTCAAAAAGTCCAGTACATTGGGGAAGGTTAAAGAGCTTTAAGGGTAGGTTAAGCTTAACCTCTTAATTAACAACTGAGGAAGTGCTCAATAAACACTGAGCCAAGGGCAGGCGAAAAGTTGCAAAGATGATGGAACTGTGGTGAGTTCTCTTTTTTAACCTTCCAATTTAATATAAAGCCCTAGTTTCCACGCTTGTTAAAAATATGTATCGTTTTGATTTGAAGCAGTATCAATTTTCCTGTGGTGTTCGTCTTTACCACCTTCCATCCTACACCTAATGGGTTCCATAAAAGGATTATAGCTTTACCAGTTCATTAGATGATAAATTTTAAAATCCTCTGAGAACTAGTGCCATCCCAATGAGCACAGTCAGTAGAAAGAAACTAGGTTTATTTAGCAAAAATATTCCCCGGGGAATTTTACTACCGAGTCGTCACGGAGACATCAAATCACAAATGCCCCTTTTCCCCTGCCAGTCATCATCCAGCGACAAAAGTGCCTCATTTCCAGGCAATAAGCTCCCAAAACTGCCCCCCATATAAACGAAATTATGCACACTTACGTTTCTCTTCTTCTTGAGATAACCGCACATCTTGACTTGCCCGGCTGTTGACGAGCCTGAGCCCGGGCCCGTCGTCGGTGGTTTCGGCTTGCTGATGGTAATAACCCCACCTCCATGCTGCTGCTGCTGCTGTTGCACCAATTGCGGAGAAGCACCAGGCGGAACTTCCACTGTCATCATTCCGTTGTTGTTGCTACTACTACTATTGCTAATGCCACTATTTTGCTGCTGCTGCTGCTGCTGCTGCTTACTGGTGGGTGAATTCAATGTCATGACTGTGACCGCCGCCGCCACCCCCGACGACGATAATGATGACGCTGACGCCGCTGCTGACTGTAATCCCACAATGCCACCACCGGTGAGGCTTTTCGCGTTGTTACCTTCTTCTGCTGATTCGTTTATCACTTTTTCTACGTTTTCCACGTTTGTTGAATGCTCTTGAACCGAAACCGAAACCGCGTGCAATTTGGTTGTGATGAATTTCTTCATCGCCTTTTGCCACCGCGCGATTGGCCTTTTGTTTTTTTTTTTTTTCTTCTAGATGCTCCACTCTGCTCTATTTCTTCTTTCGGTGCATTTTGCACCAAACACTAAAAAAAACTAGTCACTGCATTACACTATACTGGAGGTTGTTCGTTGCTATTCGATTCTTGGCTCCATTCCATCGTTCATTCCACGACGCTCGTTGCTGCTCTGTTGGTGCAATAATTTGTTTAGGTTTCTCATTAGTTACAGCTTGTAACTAATGGTTTATGATTTGATTCTGTTCGTTCACAACGAGTGATTGATTTGGTACAAATTTATGAAATATGTTTTTTTTTTCGCTACATTGTTGCTGTTGAAGTGAGACTATTTAGTTTTAATGAACCATTGGATGTTGGTGTTTCGATGGGTGCTGGTTAGTTGTTAGGCTGTTTTATGTGCTTCTTGCAGAGGTAGAATAGGAATGTAATTAGTTAAGGCCATATTTATTGTTTCAAAACAGTTGAGAAACATTACAAAGGTAGAAATCGGGGAGTCAAATTCTCTAGCTGTACTGAAGCTATGAGAAATACAACTTACTGCTGTCTTGTTTAGGCTAACAAGGGATGGTCATGATAGTGTCTCCCGAGCTTCCGAGCATTTTTTTCAAGTTGCTTCAGTTATATCTTGCATTTCAAAAGGTCCTATCTACTTTGATCAAATCTCTTCATCGATTTTCGTTTATTACATTACCATTCAACAGCCGCAGACAGTATAGGAGCAAGTCAAACGCGCACTCTTTTGCCTGTAGATTTGAAGAAATCATCATCCATTAATGTATGAGTTAGGTAAAGGAACGTGCGTTTGACTAATACTGTCGCATTAATAGCCCTTCGCTCATTTTCAACTTCTATTCAATTTTCACACTGCCATACTCTAGCGGAACTATCAACCCACCCTCTACAGAACTTTCTCTAGCTAATAAAGGATGACAACAAGAAGAAGATCGAGGAGGACATTCCATCGGTGTTGCTGTTGGTTTGGGTTAACAACGACAAAGACAAGGCAAATTTTGAAAAACTGCTGGAGGCGATTTGAACATTTGAAAGGGTGAAAGTCGAGCAAAGTGAATCCTGTGAATGTTCCTGATCAACCAGCAGGAGCAGGATTGATTTCAAAGAATGATATTGATTCTACAGTCCACCGTTGAATCGCTATCCTACAGCAAAGTGTATGGACCTATGCGAAATATCCACAGAGCAGCCATGGTTATGATCCAGATCCCACACAAGGACACGAAACGCCGTCAAATTGAACTCCAGGGTGTGGTTCCGGACGTGAGTCTACAGGATAAATAAATTGTTTTCCGAATAGTTAAACGACTTCAGTGATGAATTTACCAACGAGTGACGGCTGACTTCTTCCTCGTTTGGAAACGAACGCGAACTCAAATATTGAAACGAATGCTGGAATATGTGCGTCTTCATGTGGGTTTTCAGGTTATTCGATTTTCTGAACGTTTTCTGGCAGATCTGGCTTGTTATTATTGTGGTGCTTCACGTGATCTCCCATATCGTCCACATTCATGAAGGCTTTGATACAGCCGGTACAGGTGTTGAACTTCTGATCTGCACAGTAAATCTGGACGTGTTTGGCCAGTCCTGTTGGCCTGTCTAGAACTTCTGCTATACAATGCAATCAACCAGTTTTCCATCTCCCTCCATTCGATGGTTCCGGATCCTTTACCGTTACCGTCAGCTATTCCCACCTGGTACAGCGTTCGATTGTGAAACTCATTTTGAGAATGTCAATGAATATAGCTGTAGAAAATGGGCTAGGTGTTATGGAATCGACGTTAAAAGAATCGACGTCAAAAGAATTCTATTTTTATCTCACCTCATGCAGAAGAAGTGGACTGTGGTGCTACAGGACGAATGGATTCAGATTCATCAACTGCGAGTATACTGATCTCTGAATAATTCCATTAATTTTTTTTTCTAAAGTAATTTGATCACTTTTTTCACACATTAAGCGACCAGAAACCGATATTTACTTACGTAACTACCGATTATAACAATGTCCAGCAAGATGTCGATCTTCTATGGAACGAGAGAAATAATTTATAAATTTTGCAAACATGTCAAAGACAAACCAGTGATTTAGACTGAACGAATTCTTTGCCACTATCCGGACTTAGTATACATTTGAAATAAATTTTAATCAAATCAATATAGGGGAATTTACGTATTCTCGTCAATCTAAGCAGCGTCCGCACTTCTATTAGCATTTTGTCAGCGTTACGCACATATATCACGTGTCTGTTTGTTAACATTCATCTGCTGCTTGCTTCTCTATCCATTCCAATCGACAGAATTTTTCAAACCGGTTTGAAAGCGATTTTACAACGCTCCAAACTTCTCAGGTGAGTGTGACTATTGTCGGCAGCCTCTTTTTCTTCGGCAACCTTCCCATTAGAACTGCGTGTTAACCAGCTGTTCTATTATCGGCAACTCGAAATCAGCCCCATTTTGTAGTGCGTATACTTCATTTGAAGAAAAATCTGGCATAATAGGATTGCTCGGTCGTACAAATATAATCAGATTGAAGCTGAAAGACTAAAGAATCGTTTGAATACATTCAGGGAAGTGTGTTGATGGGAAAACATAGTGAAATTATCGTTTAAATTTTGGTTGCCGAAAACAGTCAATTTGTGCCGAAGCCAACATTTACCCTATAAAGATTGTTTAAACATAAAATGATTAAATTTTAAGCATTCTTTGGTTAGTAATATTTTTGAAAGAACAATTTAAATGACAGCAGTCCAGCAGTGTTCCCATTTTTTAATGAACAATCCAGTGCCTACGAGATTATGCCGAAGGTGTGCTGATGAATGTGCCCAAGCTGTGTCGAATCTACTTTCGGCACACTGTGCTGAGTGACTTACCCCTTGGGTTCAAACTAAAAAGTGTTCAGATTAAGAACGACCAGATTACCGAGGGGGGCGACACATCTAAATCTCAATTTTAGATGCTGAAAAAATCTCACATTAGGGAATCAATCTTCAAAAATCTTCTTGCATTTCTCGAATATACTTGCATCGCGCATCATTTTTTTGCAGGAAATTTTCAGAATCGTCATCAATCTTCTTTCTATCTACTCAGCGTGCGAGCAGCTAGTCACAGCACAACACAATCTTTCCTGCAGCGTAGATAGAGTCGTACCCCTCGCAGATTACCGAGACTCCACGGTATTAAAAAAAATTAAGAAATATCGCATATCTCTCTTGTTCATTATATACTAAGCGAAAACTTAATCATACTTTGTCGTGGAGTGTTGTGGTTTTGAGACGCTCGATTACCATGGAGGGATCGTTTTTGCTTACTGAGCAGAAAACCATGGGTAGTATTATAATCAATATAAATATAAATGGTTAGGGATGGGGTCAACAGGGCACCTGATTGAAGCGATTTGATTGGGGAGAGTGGAATTGCCAACTATCTGTTGTTAACCTTTCGTGAATTGAAGGCACTCATTGCGACATTCCCTCGTATGATGGCTTGTTGGGTTGGAACATTTTTATCATTGGAAGGAGATTCTTCTTGCTCCCGTGGATCACGCGTCAGTGTCTCTGCTAAAGGGTTCACCCTCCGTTTTTGACCCTTCATACAATGGAAAATTGAATACAACCAGGTATCGTACTTAATCAATTCATACGAGGTGGACAGTCCACTGTCTAATGGCTGTGCCCTGCAACAATGAGTGGTATCCTTTACATACATACATATGGAACCGATTTTGATGGAATCGATGCCGAGTGAAGTCAGGTTTGTCACAGTGCCGATATGTTGGTCGCACATCAAGTATCGTAATTCTTTTAAGAAATGGAACCTAGATGCATCAACATAGTGAAATCAATTAGCTACTAAGGACAAATGGCGATTTCTTATTTCATGTGACCTAACCCGGATGTTCCAGATACCGGTTCCGGTGGCCAAAATCAACTTTCTCATAAGTATGATCATGTGACACATCAAAACACATCAAATTGATGCGTATGAAACGATTATCCAAGTATTTTTCCAATAGTCTGGTACTAGTTGCCAGTGTCCTAATCTGGATGATCCGGATACCGGTTCCGGTGGCCACAATCCACTTTCCCATAAGAATGATCATGCGACACATCAAAACACATCCAATTGATGCGTATGAAATGATTCTCCAAGTATTTTGTCAATACTAGTGGTCAGTGACTTAATCCGGATGTTCCGGATAACAGTTCTCATGGCCAAAATCGAAATAATTTTCTAATATTCTATTAACTAATGGCCTTTGACCTAATGCGGATGTTCCGGATACGGTTCTGAGAGTGGCCACAATCAACTTTCTCATAAGAATGGTCATATGACACATCAAAACACATCAAATTGAAGCATGTGAAACAATTCTTCGAATAGATTGCCAATATTCATTGTCTCGAGCGAGCATCACAGAAAAAAAATAGCCAAATTCTCTGAACTTGAAGGGAAGTTCACACAACGAAAAGTTTACAGAGCTTCTTACAAACAATTCGCATAATTTCCGATCAACTGTTCACAGAACTACCGACGAAAATTTTACAGAACTTACTTAAAAATCCCTAAGGTTCGCAGAACTTCCCTGAAGTTCTCAGAACTTCATCGGAGTTCCCTGAAGTTCGACGAAAATCAGAGAACTTTCAATAAAAAGTAGAGCGAATTTCCGACGAGATGTTCCAGAAAACTACCGACGAAAAGTGCAGAGATCTTCCGATGAGCAGTTTAGAGAACTTCTGATGAGAAGTTCTGAGATCTTCCGACGAAAAGCTCAGGGAACTTCCAACGAGAAGCTCAGAGAACTTCTGACGAGAAGTTCAGAGCTTTTCTGAAGAGAAGTTCTCAGAACTTCATTTAAGTTCCCTGAAGATCCGACGAGAAGTTCAGAGAGCATCAGACGAGAAGTTTAGAAAATTTATGACGAGAGTTTCAGAGATCTTCTGACTTAAGTTCACAGAGCTTTCCTGAAGTTCACAGAACTTCATCAAAGTTGCCTGAGGTTTGACGAAAAGTTCAGAGAACTTTCAACAAGAAATTAAGAGAATTTCCGACGTGAGGTTCAGAGAACTTCAAAGGAGAAGTGTAGAGATTTTACGACGAGAAGCTCAGAGAACTTCCAACGAGAAGTTCAGAGAACTTCTGACGAGGAGTTCAGAGATTTTCTGAATAGAAGTTCCGAGAAGCTTACAGAACTTAATTTAAGTTCCCTGAAGCTCTAGAACAA